GCCATCTCTTGTTCCATGCTTAACCCTAGCCTCCAACCCCAACTCTCTCTCTCTCCAAGATCAACTTTCAAGAAGCTGATCTATCTCTCTTTCTCTCTCTCTCTCTCTTCTCTGCATGTATGTGTATAGTTATATATATATACCCTTTATGGCTTAGTAATACGTGTTGTAGGGTAGAATGTATGCAATAAATGAAAGTGGTGTTGAAGGGAACAGAAGTCTACGCGTGTATGTATATATATATATTTCATGTCATGCAAGAGAGATGAGAGGGGCACCTGGGCGGTTTTGGTATTGACAAGGAGGAGGGTGATGCTCACAAGTGTTGAGCTATTCCCTGCCTCTTTTAATGGGGTTGTTCGTTCTGATTTTTCGAACTCCGCCTTCTCAGCTCTCTCTCTCTCACTCTCATTCACTCATTTGGTTCGAGTCTTCTCTCACTCTATGTATAGATATAGCACAGTTGTGTTTATTTTGTGGGAACTTTTGGAGGTCTCCTGCAACAAACCCAAATCTCCAAACCAATTGCAAACTTGAGATAATCGATACGAATTTAGTTTCAATATTTTTGGGAATTTAAGAGTCAAATAAATTACTCAACACAAATTTTATTAAAGTACGGGACAAACTGCCCAAAACACAGGAATCTCATTAAAGAATGACACGAACCCGCACAACATATATTATTCATGACACAAAACATATAGGACATGGAATCGACTACACCTTAGAACTCGATATGACACTACCCAACGTCATTACTAGCTCTACACGCACCCACCTTGAAAGTCTATATAATTTTTGCTTCTGCTGTTGTACATTTATAACTCACATTTTTTTGGTAAGTAAAAAAAAAAAAAGGGTATCTTGGTGCATTTTCTCATTGTAGTATATTACCCTAAACTGTCTATTAGGCAATCGTATGTGATTACATCTTTTTCGGCTACAAGACAGCCTGTTGCAAGCAAGAAATAGAGTCCTTGTGAAACTCTATATGGAATTGTATGTACCTCCACGTAATTTAGGCTGATTTGATACTAGCATATCTCCAGGTGATTCAAAGGGGCACACACTTTTTTTCCCAATTAGAGCCGTAAGCAAGAATAGTGTGGGTGGCTTTTTCTTTTTCTTTTTTGGTTTCAAAGGATGCAAAAAAAGTTAATATTGTTAATCTGAGTTGAGACTGCGGCATTTGAGTATGTTCGAGCTTGTCTTGATTGTGATTTGTCAAGTTCGTCTATTGAGCATTCCGTATGAACTCGATTCAAAATTCAATTTAATTTCTCATCAAAAATGTTTAAAAATTAAACTCTTATAATCAATCCTGGAACACCCAATTCTTTATAATATTTCTCACCATTTGTATAATCGACTGTAAATTCAAATTTCCTGAAAATCTATTGAGGGAGAGAAGTGTAGGTTGTTTAGTAATAACATAAGGTGCATTTTTTTATAGATAGAAATCAACTCAAAGCTAGTTGAGTCACACATTATACTTGGCTGTTCAAAAAAAAAGAAAGGATTAATTGTAAGTTGCATCCTGAAAGATAGTTTAAATATCAATTTAGACCTTAAAGATCAAAAATTTTAATTTATACCTTTAAAAATATAAATTTATATCAATGTGCACCTACAAAGATAAAATATCTCAATTTGTACCCTCAAAAATAAAATTTATATCAATGTGCACCCTCAAAGATAAAAAATCTCAATTTACACATTCAAATATAGAAATTTGTATCAATGTGCACCTAAAATTAAATTGATAAATTATACCTAGATCCCCTCATGTTTGTCACTTAATCATTTAAACTCTTTCACATTTAGAATATTACTCATACATCTCATGACGTTTTGTGCACGTGTAACACATAACCCTTTTTTGTTGATATTTGTTAATATAACTGTTAAAAAATATGATTTTATCATAATAAAAAATTCTAATTTCATATTACCCTTTATTTTGTAGGTCCGATATATTCTAAAGTTCAAAATCAAGTTTATCATTTGAATGTCCAATAGAATGTAGATATTTATATAATATTTTTATATTCAAAGCAATATATCACTCAATGTGCAACTCTTTATTCTATTAGATATTCAAATGGTAAGCTTAATTTTGAACTTTAGAGTATATTGTACCCATAAAATAAAGGGTAATGTGAAATTATAATTTTTTATTAGAATAAAATCATATTTTTTAACAGTTATATTTACAGATATTAACGAAAAGGGGTTACGTGTTACACATGCACAAAAGTTTTGAGATGTAGGAGTAATATTTTAAATGTGAAGAGATCCAAATGATTAAGTGACATGTATAAGGGGATTGACGTATAATTTATCAATTTAGTTTTAGGTGCACATTGATACAAAATTTTATCTTTGAGGGTGCAAATTGAGATTTTTTATCTTTGGGAGTGCACATTAATACAAATTTATATCTTTTAGGGTGCAAATTGAGATTTTTTATCTTTAGAGGTGCACATTTATATAAATTTTTATTTTTGAGGGTGCAAATTAAAATTTTTGATCTTTGAGGGTACAAATAAAAATTCTAACGATCTTTCAGGGTACAATTTATAATTAATCCAAAAAAAACACACATTACAACTAAATTCAGTTCAAGTTGTAATTTAAATGAGTCTAAACAAATCAAAATAAAAGCAAGCTTA